GCAACGATTGGTACTCCCGAGTGCCTTGCGTGCGAGTATAATCGCTGCATTCCTCAGAGTGTACGCGTCAATGACAGCCTCACAAACGGGGCTTCTCGAAGAGCTAACGGGTGCGGCGTTCATCTAAGAGAACACACAATTCACGGTTCGTCGAATAAAGAACAGATGATAAATTTGAGGCCTCTTAAAGGCCCGTTCACACTCTTGCGACCTCTTAGAACTGGGTGCCTTGAAACCTCTGGACACACTGGCACCATCTATCGGGTAGCAGTGTAAACTTGGCGGTCCGGCATATTTTCTATTTCTCTCGCGCACTATTCTTTCTTTCTTGGCTCGAAAAACTTTTGACACGCGGGCTTGACGTCACGGAGCTGCGGCGGCGCTGCGATCGCTCTGGAGCCGGGGGCGCCGGGGGTGTGGGCAAAAGCGCGCACGTTTCGCATGGGCGTCATAGCATTTCAGCATGTTGCGAAGCTGTGTTGCCGTTAATTGCACCGAAATGTACAAGAAAAGCAGCGGAGTGAGTTTCCACAAGTTCCCGGCAGACTCTGAAAGGCATATAAGGTGGATAATATCCGTGCATCGAAAAGAATGGTCGCCTCGCGCGAACGACCGTTTGTGCGACAAACACTTTCTTGGAGGCAAGTGCGGCTTCCATTTTAATCTCCGTCCCGAGGCTTGCTTATGTGCAGGGAAACCGTTGTCTGATCGAGATCACCCGGATTTTGTTCCCACGGTGTTCGCGCACAACGCACCGGCCAAGCGCTCGTCGGAGGCTCCCTATGCCCGTGCTACCGAGCAGAAGGGGATCGGCGACTGGACGACAGTAGGGAGTTTTCGTAGACCGCGCTGCCCCCTCCGCTAAGCGTCCCGCAACGAAGAAGTTGCTACTGCGCCTGCGCGCCGATAGCCTTGACTGTGGAGTTCCCGCTATCGTAGCGGGTTGCGGAGGGCCTTGCGGGACGGCGAAAACGATCTACGAAAACTCCCTAGTGTTGTAGGCGTCACCGAAAAAAGTATCGAAATACGTTACTCGTTACTTGCAAATAAAAGGTACGCGTTACTGAGCTACGTTATCTAAAAATAAAAGGAACGCGTTACCGCTACCGATAAAAAGTAAGGCACGTTACTTCTGCATTACTTTTTTAAATTATGATTTAACAAATTTTACGGTTTTGACGATACAGGTCATATATCAAGCAGAAGCTGAACATAAATACTTTATCTCTTTTTACGGTTTCACCTAAATACTTACGAGAAAAAACGCAAAAAAAACATGGCTTGACGCCTAAAACACGGAAACAATTGAAGTGTAATTTCTTTAAGACTTGGGAAGTAGTAACGACTAACGTAACTACGTTACTTGAAATAGTAACATAAGTACGTTACCCGTCACTGTGTCAAAAACGTAACGAGTAGGTTACTACGTTACTGAAAAAAGAAACGCGTTCCTGGTAACGCCGTTACTTGTAACCTGTTACCGCCAAGACTGCAGAACGGACAAACCTTTACTGGTTGTAATGCCTTGTGGTCACGAGGGTATGAAAAATATACCTTGACTTGAAGACGCTGTGTGTATTTAATCAATTAATGAATACACACACTTCCGCAGACCCACAGTCTGCTGATCCCGCCGGCAGTGCGGAAACCGACTCGATGTAATCGTAGGCCTTGAGAGACTTGTAGGCCTGCACCGTGTCGGGTGTGAACTGACTTGGCGAAAACTAAATAAACGACGACCTGAGCCGTCGACTTCCGCGGCAGCAACTTTACGTCGGAAGTCCAGCACCTAGGCCTTGTTTACGGCGTACGGATCCTCGTAGGCAACGCCGTCCACGCACAGTTTGTTTCGGTACCGCTACCGTTCAGGCTCGGGCAACAAGCTCAAATAGTCGGGCATAGCATACGACATACGTTATGCGGAAATACGACGCACAAAAAAAGATACAAGCGTCCCTACAACGTCAACAACGAGCGCACGCCATAGAGCGCAATGGCGAAAACACGGAGAGCCGGGAGGCCGGGATCAGCCGGGATGCTTTTGCCCACATAGCTACCGCGCATGCGCGGCCTTCCGGCCGTGTTGGTAAACAGAGCAGCTCCGCGATTTGACCTCGGAAATCCCGCAAAACCTTCGCTCTTGTGGAATGCAGTCCCAGGGTCACCGCATAGATGGCGCCAGCGTGCTCTCGTCCTAAGAAATTTTAAGAGGTTTCAGCAAGTCTCGCCTTTCTCGGTCGTACTCGGTTGCAAGAGTGTGAACGGGCCTTAATGCGTTGTTAGCATTAGAAAGCTCGTTTTGACGAAAACCCGGCGGTGTTTCGTTTGTCAGCGCCGGGGAAAAACGAAGGAGGAAGAGAAAGTTAGAGTGCGACGTTCCCATTGGTCCGAGGCGTTGACGTCGGCACGCGTCAACCTCTCCCGTTCTTCCCGGCTATGACAAACTGACAGACACCGCCGGGTTTTCGTCAAAACTAGCCCTTTCGTCCGCGGCAAGTCACGCGCACAGCTGGCGCGGAGCCAGAGAGGAGGAATCTCCGCGCAACACCTCCAACACCATCACGGGATGTGTTCATGCGATCACAGTGACCAGCTGTGGTCGTCCAGAGCTGTGTCCTACCGTGGTTGTGTCTTCGTCTGCATCCACTGAGTTGCTCATCCCCGTCGTGCACAACGTTTACCAACGCGTGCCCAATTTGCTACCTTAGATCAGATCCCTGTCGTTGTTGTTGTCTTCTTGATCCCGTTTGAAATTATCGGATACGTTAAAATATGCGAACCTCGAGCGAGAGCATCATTCTCTCGCGTGGATTCATACGCGTGCGACCGGAAACAGAGTAATTGAGCGTTCACTGACATCAGGGATGGGCAGTATTTCAAATACATGTATTTGAAATACGTATTGCAAATACTTTGTGTATTTTGCATTTGTATTTAATTACAAATTGGGTAATGTATTTGACGCGTGTATTTAAATACTAACACGTGGGTATTTCAAATACAATTGTAATTAAATACAATTTTGTGGGCGAAAATACATCCCTCAAATTTATTGTCACTGTCCAGAGCAGGAAGAAAACTATGTTCTGCACCGAATCTCTCCTCTCAATCAAGCAGAAGTGTTTAGTGACTTTGTGATTACGGTGCTAGTCCAGGGCAAGAATTGTGAAGAAATCGACGTTCACAGGTAGACTGGCTAAATAAGTGCCTGTGACAACTTGTGATGCTTTCCAGCCTGATTTCCATCCATATTTTTGCCTGAAACATTCTAAATGCGCGGGTCGTCCAGATTTTCGTAACTGGTGCGAGTTGCAACAATAAAAAAATTCTCTAGCTAGTGCTGCGCGTCTTGGTCGTTTCGGTTCTTTGTTGGTCTATACCAAAATGTAATCGACAAAAAAAGCTGCTTGAAGCTCTGTACTTTTTTCACTTATTACGTCCAAGCTGATTACATTTTTTTTTCGTGATTATATTTCTTTTACGTTACTAGAGCCTCGCACACTAACTCCCGAGTGTGCGATGCAAAATTAGAATGAGTTACCCAGAAACCCGTTGCCGGTGCCTTGAAGTCGCTGACGCAAATTTTGAGAAATGTGTTTGGAAAAGTATTTAGAGGAGACCAAATACATTTGGTTGTATATGTATCTTGTACTTAAATGCTTTTTTGGAAATGTAATTAGATTTGTAATTAAATACATTGTTGACGAAGTATTTTGTATTTGTATTTCGATACATATTTGCATGTATTTTGCCCATCCCTGACTGACATGAACCCGTCAGGGTCGCTATTTCGGCGTTGTTGTAAACCATTTATAAACGTACCACATACAAAGGCGTTCTCGGAAAAAAGCGAAAGACGGGTGCGATTTATTCTACGCACCAGCCGCATGCACAACCGGGGACGCGACGTGATTATGGTTCCACAAACCACCTGCCATGCGACTATCATCGCTCCGCTTGTTTACCGAAGTGCGATACACTGAACGCGTGCAGTAATTATGCTTACGAACCCAAACATGGACACTAGACTTGTCCATGCTCCAGCCTCTTGAGGCGAAAAACATGATGTAGCGATATCACTTTTTCGATTATATAAAATTTGCCCCGAGCAACGTGCATCGGTGATGTATTACCCTAATTTAAACCCTTTATAGGTCTGTGTCTCGTGGTTAGAACGGTGTTATTATAACACCTTTGGAAAGGTATATTCTAACAACTCATCAACGCTTATCTTCTAGTCTAAAAGATGTCAAGTCATTGGGATATTGCATGCACTGCGCCTGATACTCTGCAGGCAAGAGCTAATGCGCAAGCTCAGAACGCGTTTCCGCAGCAAGAGCTAATGCGCAGAATGCGATTATTGGAATGGTCCGTACTGTTCTTGCAACGTATCATTTCTCGCGTGGACGTTTCGTTGTGAGGGTTGACGCAATCTCATGCGGACCACCTTGGCGTGACACAACTTCATTTCCTGTGTGTCGTCAGAGTAGCAGTTCCTTGCGCGCCGGCAACGCCAGCTGCCCTATAGCGTTCCAGAATAATAAAAAAAATAAAAGAAATATCGTTCGCCAAAAAAAAGGACGCAAAAAGAGCGAATGTGGGGCATGTTGCGTCACCTCGAAAAAACGAATCACCTCAATTTGGAGCACAATCTCAATTTCCCTGTCCCTTTCTCGATACGGTGCCTATCCAAAACACCCGGTTATCAGTCAAACAAAGTTGGCAGAACCGTAGGGAAAGATGTAACGTAGGAAAACAAAGAGAGAAAGGCTGTAAATGCACGACGGCTCCAGTGAAAACGGGCAGTTGACAGCGACACATATAGGAAACTTCTCAAACGTATTTTTTTGTTTGTTTATTTGTTTGAAGCAGGAAGGTGCATGTTTACCTCGTGGAATGAAAACTTGAATAACGTATTCACTGAGCCGGCCCGCTGTCAACGCGGACACGCGAACGAATAAACGAGCAAACAAAAAGAGGAGCATCACGCGGGCACTCACCCGTAGCAGAGAATGTTGCCTGGAGATGTAGGCGAGCATGGTTTCTCTGCGCAGGTACATGATGGTTTTGACGGCAAACATGAGACCCGAGCTGATGAAGATGGGTCCGATGAGCCACATGTGCGTCAGGTTGGGGAACACTTTCTCGCTGTCGTCTAGCACCAGTATCGTGAGCACGGTGCCCAGGGAAAAAAGCACGATGGCCAGGGAGAAGTAACAGTACGACGCGCAGTTGCACACCACCACCCTCCGCTCGTAGGGTCTCCTGCTCAGTCCCGACGCGAGATCCCCGGCCCTATCCATCATTCCAGCTGTCTTCGCTAGAGCCCCAAAGAACCAGTCGATGATCTGACTGTTGTCATCGCCGTCGCATGTGGGGCGCACTTCGTCACCGCTGCGGTGCTGCGCTGGCAGCCGTGCTCACGGGGACCGCCCATCGTTCGCTGTCGCCGTCGAAGCCCGTGCGATGCTCGCTGCTACAATGCTCGCATAGCTCGCTCGAGCTGTTGTGGCTGCTTGCCTGGCGCTTGTAGTGTCGGTCTGATGGGGTCTGGCGCAGTTGCTCGTCGAACCAGCAGTTGGTGGGAGAGGCGTGGAGATCGCGGGCAGTTGGTAGCAGAAGATCGGCTACACACGAGCGTGGAATGCGGAATTGGGTTCGGCGATGATTCAAAACGTTGACGATGGGTGGCGCCACAACATGGCGGCGTAGTGTGTAGTTTTGAGGACAGAGGGCGCTAGCTAACCAACCATCGACTTGTTTAATTTTGGCGGGAACTTTTGTCAACGGAAGAAGGAATTCGTCATTGCATGCGTGAAGTTCCATTGCAACATAAATTGGTGGTTGATCTCACCGTTCGTTAATACCGGAGAATCGTAATGTGAAATTTGTGTGCATTAATAATTCGTCTCCCAGGACTGTTAAAAATCTATCTAATATTGATCGAGACACTTCCACCAATCAATCTCCTTCTTGCACTAGAAATTAAGAAGCTGCCCACGCGTTTATGGGAATCATTTGCCGCTGGGTTGCTGGTTTGTAGATATTGTCTTTCTAGGATCTATGAAATATTAAACGAATTTAATCTGTAATGCTTCACTGCTACAGTGCCGTCAAAACGGGGGCGGGGTAAACATTTATGACATTTTTTAATGCGGGTGAGGGGCAGGACTATCTCCCCCCCCCCCCCCCCTCTCCCCCTTTAGCTCCCAAATAGTTCCGACGTCCCTGTTTCGTTGGGATTCTTAGCAGAGTACAGTTAAGTGGCATAACGTAAGCAAGTACTTGGAACTTAATAACATGTAAGCTCAAATAATAAGATATCTTGATTTACTTTACAGCAGAGACTTCGATAAAGGTGAGGTTTCAACCAGCACGTTTCGGGACTTCGTCGTTTGACCGTAAGAGTAATTCCGAAATAAACCCAGAATAAATACACAAAAGGTTCTCTTTATTATACACAACCTAAAAGAACCGCAAAGATTCCTTCGTGCGATAGTTAACCCAGTAAACCCATTACATCAGGGCGCTCATGCAGTACTCCCTGGAAGAGCATATGAACCAGGGCTCTGTAATACCGAGCTCCGGAGTGAGGCAAGTGTTTCGCGAAATCGTAGTGTCTTGTGCAGGAAATTCGGGAGGGTGTTGGATTTAGCCTGGTTGTGTGTTGAGGTGTGTGTGTGTGTGTGTAAAAGGGGGGGGGGGGGTGGTACATAAATAACTGCTGGCAAAACAACAAGACGGGTTGAAGGGTGTCCTTTGGTCGCCATTTTGGTCCATGGAATGAACAGTTTCTTCTTCACCTCTCCATTCTTGGTGAGCCGATATAAATTCGCGGTGACAGGTTACTTTATAAAGACACTTCTTGTATACAGAGATTATGCTATCCGCAGACGGGCGCACCAAGCGCACATCCTTGCACCACCACCACAAGCGGCGTTCGTGTATGCTTATGCTATATTTACAAGCAACAGAAGCAAAAGAAACAGCATCACCAGCGCTCTTGTATGCCCTCCCAGTACAATTAGTAGTATGATAGTATCAAACTAACGAATGTTACAAAGAAAGAAAAAAATCACACCTTGTGGATTGTATTGTGTGCATCTTGCACGCGTTGTTTTAAGCGCCGCAGTCGATATATATCCGCAGTTCACATTGAACAAATACGTAAGTAGATTACCCGAACTGAACTCCAAAAGAGAAAGGCACAAGGGGACCTCGTTCACATGGTTGCGTATAACTCTTTGTTTGCACTTTGGCGGCTCACCGTGCTCCTATCTTGTCTTCGGGATATCCCCGTTTCCCCCACGGCCCACGGTGTTCCTGAAAGTGCAAGACTGATGCAAGAATCTTACATTCTTGCCGTAACGAAAAAAAAAAAAAACACATTTTGTGCGTGTGTGTGTGTGTTTTTTTTTTTTCTTTGCTTTTCATTTTCCTCTTTTTTCCTTCTCTTGTTGGCGCTTTCAGCCTGCCGCTTTGTTTCTTAATTGTTTCCTGTTTTATGTTCGGTCGCTTCCGCTTCAAGTTTCCATACGCTCATCCGAATACTTTACTAGGGAGAATACATCCTACTCCTCTCATTTGCATTAGACGGCGCGCCTGCTGCGCTTATTTCTCCCGTGGCAGCTCGCACGTCCCGCCGCGTCAGAGAAATACACCTTTTTTTTTTTGTTCTAAAATTGTTTAGAGAACAAGCTACGACACATATTGAACAAACGCTTACATCGACCGAACCAACGTTGAACCCGGAACGGCCCGCGGCGCGCCTTTTGCCATCGGCCTGATAACCGCGAAATTCCATGCCATTAGCTGGCTCCTCCTACAAGATGTCTACCAGTCACAATTCAGATGAATGAATGATATTGGCTATGCCTTCTGTAACGGTCGGTAGCTTGCGCCACCTAGCCTGGGTTAAATGGATACTTCAACGAAATTTGAAATATTCCCGTCGTGTTCAAAAATAGGTTGAATATGATTCACAATATCCGTAAATCCCAATCGCACATTTGTATTTTGAGCCATGGTGGTTGCATTTTTCGTTATAAACGGCCCACTCTGGCAAGCGCTCGGAGAAGGCCCAGCGGAGACCACGTCACATCCAACGCAATCGTGACGTAGGTCGTCTCAAGACGAGCAAAGCTACGGCGAGGCTGACGTCGAGAGGCCTAGTCGTTCCAGCCACCGAAGCGGCTGCTTTTGTACGAATTTTGAGTGACGGGTTAATCTTCTGTAATCTTGTAGGGGGACAATAGCGACTTCTGCGACACACAAAAGGCATTCTCGGGAAGAGGGGAGTTCCTCCTGTCCCTCTTCTCTCGTCGCGGCCGGAGACGAGACAACCTCCGTCACTAGCTGCCAAGGTTCCTAGACGGGCATTACAAGCGAGGCGTTAGCGACATCCAGCAGGTGCTCTTTGCTAATCGTTTAATTCGTTTTAAAATTCCTTTCCGGGACTTTTTTAACCAGATATTGGTATGTTCGATGTGATGCTGCTTTTTTGAACACTTGTAGACCAAAAAATGAGCGCCGAAATTTCGTTGTAGTATCCCTTTAAGGTTGCTGGTCAGCACACTGGGTCAGCCAGCCATTCAGACTGCGCCACACCTGTCCGGCCCGAAACCATTATATTATTGGGGAGTAGGATGTATCCCCGTAGTAAAGTATTGGCTCAACCTTGCGCTGGAACGTGCTAATTCATTTTCCCGTAAAAAAATTGCACCATTTTAGAAAGTTATTGGTGCAGGATGTTTGGGTATGAAAATCTGTCAACACGTGGCATGCTCAAGCGAGTATGGGCACAACGTCGGCACACTCTCTACCTAGGAAGCAAGAGACCTAGATTGGGCTCTTCCAAAGTCTCTTCTGTTCCTGTTGTGGGATCATCTTTTCGCCCCTTCCGTTTCCTAATCTGAGCATTACTTCATTCTCAAAACCTTCAAACCTTGTTTTCTGCTAGATGGCGCCAGTTATTTCCAAAAACAATAAATTCCAGCGACTCTTTTTGTTTCGAGCAATAGAAAATGTATTTGAGATAATGAGTACAAAATACTGAGAAATATAACTAAGATAGAGTAGCAAATACTTTCGATCAAATGTATTTGCAAGATACCGAATTACCACAAAAATTATTTCAAATACAGTATCTTGAGTAGAGTATTTGAGATAATGACGAATCCGGATGAAACTACTGGAAACTACATAGCGATCTTGGCGCGGCTGGTTCAGGACGACGACCCATTCGAAGATTTGAAGAAAAAAAATGGCGATTCCCATGGCAACAAAGATAGATCAGCCAATCGCCTTGCGAGCCTTTGGTCGTCTGTTTGTTAGTATAAGGTTGTGCTCAGCCAGCCTAGCTATACTCCGTTTCATCTTATGTTGTACCGCAGACAAGGCTAGAAGCGTGAGCTCATAGCTTTGGGAGCTACTCTGAACGCACGAGAGCTTGTGCCGCCTTGATGTGCCCTATCACTGTTAGCAAAAATAACACGCCCAGACGTGTAAACCGTTGTCCCATAGCGGACACGTCAAAACGTGTTCGTTTTACACGCAGCTATCTGTGTTTTTCGTCTACACATGAGGTGCTGTGTAAACTTCACACGCTACACCGTGTCTGCCTTCAGCAAAACACGTTTCGAGCGTGTTCCTTATGAAACATGGCGGCCAGCGGCCGAGAACAGGCGAGAGACGAGCCCAGCGAGCCGCGCGCCTTTCACCCGAATTGAAAGCACACAGGGCGCGTTAGTTCTCGTTCGATGTCTTTTATAGACGCTTTGCAGCAACTGTGCATGGGCGCCGCCATAACTGACCTTCAGTTTTTGTTTCCCCTTATTTCGTTTATTTCACTTCACCATTACCATAGCAGGCCAGGTTATTGCCACATTAGATTCAACCGTGTCCTTTTCTAAAGCATCAGCTTTTGTAGAGGATCGTCAACTACCGTTTCAGTTGCTCGGCATCTCGGTAAGACAAGAGAAGGTCAGCAATGGCGGCTGTAATTTGGCGCGTGTGTAAAGCGTCTATACACAGTAAAGTCTCCAAGCGGCGGACGTGGCTACTTGCAAAGGTACGTACGTGCGTTGTCGGCGGTCGGCGGCAACCGGCGGACACATCGAGCGCCTTCCGGTTTGCTATTTCAGCGCCATCTCTTATCCGTTGGTATTCTATTAAGTCTTTCCGGTTTACGCCGGAAAGTTTATTTAATAGGATGAGATACATATTATTGTTGCTACTTACAAATTTCAAAAATTATCCTGGTAAGATGAAACAAATATCTTGGTCAGCTAAAGTTTCGCCCTCATACTTTGCTCTCATTGGCCGGTTGTTTTTTGTATTTTGACCGTTGAGAACAGTTGCGCGTCGGCTGCCGCGCTCGCGGATGCGTCGGCTGCTCGGCGGCGCCTGTGCCAGCGGTGCGGTGGTGGTTTTCGTTTGCGGCAGCGGGCAGTAGCGTTGACCTATTGGTTATCGGTCTCTTTCTGCTACCAGTACACAGAGCAAACGAAACCTTGTTCATTGCTCGACTCAGTGGTGCTCTAATTCCAGTGGCAACAGCTCTGCCAAGTTCTTTGGGTTGCCGATCGAGTGACGAAAGGTAAAGACGGGCTGCTATACTTTTGGTTATACAGTTTCGGATTGCCGAAAACTTGCTGGTGCATGTTTCTTTATGGAA